CAGTCAGCAATACTGAACTGTAGCTGCATGCTCTGATCGAATGTGACAACTTTGTCCGGCATTGGCACTTGGCTTCCATAGATTTCAATTTATTACCACACTTCCTCACCAAAATCGGTATAGACTTGTACATCAGGGCTACTGGGGTGGTAATTACGGTTAGGGCACTCATTTTTGACGCAGGCGCTAATGTAGAGGCTTCTGATCATCTGCGCTCTGTAAGGCCGAGCCTGGGAAATCACCCCTTCTGCCGAGCTAAAGCCGTACCAGAGCGCTAAATGGCGCTGGTGTCATTGAAAAGGCTGGAAACAGGAAAATAAGTGACATATTCGTGATCGGGACATCAAACAACCCTATTATGCAAGTTTTTATCGGTTTTGGTGGAAAAGCTGGTGGCTCCAAGTTGGCGCGGAGTGCCGTATTTTTGATCAAGGCACCCAGTTCTCCCTTCGCAAAGGTTCATTAAAAATTCTTGAGTTTTGGAGTGGTGATAGTACAGTAGTGCCGAATAGTCTTTCCGAGGGCTGTGTCTTGGCCACAGAAGATTTTTTACAATCAGAGCCATCCTCGGTTGAGCTCGTTCATAGCGCCGCAGAAGAATGGCAGAATCCATGGAAAAAGAATTTATAGTACTGGTTCGGAGGGTCACGGAATTAGGAGATTTGGCGAAGAATTCTCGATAGAGGTAGTTCGCTCAGTCCGCCCTGGCTGTATGGGAGGAGAGTCGCGGAACTGGGAGAATGACGGCATTGAGGGAATACGCGAAGTGGTTCAGATACGAATTCAAGCGCAGTTTGGCTTGGTGGGAGCAACTAACGGTACTCAGCAAGTCCTGTACAATTTGTGAGAACGTGTACTTTCTTGTAACTGAAGTGGCTCATTCGTACCCCTTCGCAGCTTCACAAGAGTTTACAGGTCTCTCCAAAGTGAGAGCTGTTTACATGAACTAGAGAAAAGGAATTGAAGCGCGAAGATCCCCTTCCAAGTAAAACATCCGAACCATTTCTCTGACTCGGCCAGACGTGGAATTCGATTCATTATCACTTCTTCCGCGAATTCTCTGCCATGTTTCTGGTTTCCATGTCTCCTGCTCAATGCTGGGTGTGACAACGTCCGATCGACCGCGAAGGGATAGGTCATACATAACTTGCCAGAATCCAGTTCCAACGTTCACTCTCCCACAATTAATGTGAATATTTTAGGATGAGACGATTGCTTATGTCGCCTGTGCCTTTTATTGTGTGATGCTTGAAATGGACAAATTCCAGCAGAAACCATTTCCTTATTCTATGCATAGAATTTTAAAAATATGTAGTGTTAGGTAAGTCTGGTAAAATAGATTTTTCAGATTTTTCCACCGTGCTAGATTATAGTGTTATTTCAGCGTAGTAGAGTTTTTCGACAAACTGAAACGATGGATAGAAATTGCTACTTCATCGAAAAAGATCGCAGATCATGCGCACAAAGTTGAGGTAAGATTTTCTTCCTTAACTTGGTTAGGCTGCGTTTATACTTTGCGGCAGCGTAGCGTAGCGCTTCCAGCGTTTCACGAGCGTTTCACTAGCGTTTCGCTAGCGTTTGCAGCGGCGGGGCTAGAGAGTATAGAAGAGTAGGAGAGTATTTTGTACTCTCCTACTCTTCTATACTCTCTAGCCCCGCCGCTGCAAACGCTAGCGAAACGCTGGGAACGCTAGATCGATATCCATCCTTTCCCCGACACTGCCGCTGGCGTACGCTGGAAGCGCTACGCTACGCTGCCGCAAAGTATAAACGCAGCCTTATATAAGGCGTTCGTCTTTGTAACCTTACTGTTTTCTGTGTAGTGTGTAAGGGTGCTGCTCGGGCTTGAGGGGGGGGGGAGAAATTTAGCACTTACGTTATTTTCTTTTGTTGTTGTTATTTAACAGGTCACAGTTTGGTCAAACCTCTTAACTCCTGTGAAGCTGCGAAATTGTGCGAGTAGGCCAAACTGGTCACAGGATTTTACAAGTCTTCACGGGGTGGCATGTGCAAGCACTGATGAATACCATTCGATACCCCCATCAAGCCGACTTGCACCTGTTGATGATATGATAATTCTATGATAGTCTATTTCAGTCATCACTGTCCGTTTCTTTTGTGATATTCAAGAAATTTTTGCCCATATTCCGCTCTCTTTTTCAATTGGTCGCAAGCGATTCTAAGCAGTCATTCAATTCAAAGGACCTTTTCACCGTTATTTGGTTGATGACCATGATTATGAAAAGTGAGTCTGTTTTTTCTTAATTGCTGAAATGAATTACTTCGAAGTTGCTTTTAAGAATCGCTGCCAACGGATGATCTCATAACATCTTTCCACCTACTGCTGTGCGTAGTCGAATGGGTTTACAAAGATCTCTGCTTCCACGATTGTGAGGATCATATCGAGCCGGAATCCGGTGCGAAGCTATTCGTTCTTTTAGTCATGCTTGGTTGAAATATGATACCGCGCCACGTTGTTGAGATCCCCAGTGAGGTGTGGGAGAGGGGGTCGTATTTTGCCGCTAGAAGGAGAGGGTTCGTATTTGCTTGGGAGGAGAAGGTTTATCATTGTTCACTTTCCGTTGTTTCTGTCGTTTCACATGCGCTGTAATTCCCTTTCCCGCTGCACCACGACAGTTTTTTTTACGCTACCGGGACCACTTTGACCTCTCAGCTCAATGGCTATTTGTGCCATTGCCTTCGAGCACTCACACGTTCAACGTGATGAGCCGGTTAGCCGATATCGGCAGTGAACCGCAAGGCTGAAGGCTTTTTAGAAGCGATCCGAAAGTTATCACAACAATGCTGAGTTGTGGGCAAAAGTCGGACCACGGACGGGAGGGGACTTTCGGATCACGCACTGCGGCGTTAAACAGCAGTTATCAAACAATAACAGTTTTTTAGAAAAAGTGCAGTTTTTGGAAAAATAGTCCGGAAAGTGCTGGAAAGTAGGGATAATTCAGTAAGAAGATGGTGGGTAGGATAAAGGATGGGGAAGGAACGTACCAGAGGAGTAGCTCTTGAGGGGGTTTGCGGAAGGACGTGTCCTGGTTTACAGTAAGGTTACCGATTTCTGAAATCCTTTTCATTTCTTCGGATGACAGAGGGCCTAACGATAGTCTGAGGGCAGATGATAATCGTGATGGTATGAATCCGTACATCGATATTGATATTCATGTGTAACGAAACAATATCCGCTGAATATAGATGTGCGTCGCGCGTTGTCGCGTGCAGTACTGCGAAATGCGCCTTATACCGCAGGAGGCACAATGAAATCTGCGTAAATCTCGAGACCTCCTAAACAACCTTATGTACGTTTTTTTAGTGGATCCCATGATGGAGAGTAAAGACGGCGTGAGGGTGTTGGAGGTTTTGTGTCGCTCGTTCGATGGAGTTCTGATAGACGCTAAACATTTCCGTACTCACTGGTTTAACCAGAAGCGAGAGAGTATTCTGCCTTGTATTGATCACAAGGATCTTAATGTTGCGGCTAATTACAGGCAATACATGTATGTTCTTTGATTAGTACTGCATGGATTTATAATTCGCTAATTTCAATACTTGCAGTTCCTCACTCAATGATGCGTATAATGAAATTATGCTCAAAAAGGGTGAACTGGATGAACGGATGTTTTTGCCTGATGACATGTCGAATGTCTTTGATCCAGCTTGTGATAGTAAGTGTTGCGATATTGTTTTTGCCGCGTCATTCGTGGGCGGTTAAGTGTTGTAGTTTCTAGTAGACTTAAAGACAAGCGGCACGATAAATCCTAGACGCGTAGGATAAATACGCTTAGAAGGACAGTACTCGGCGCCACTGAGCAGGCGCTACGTGTCGTCCTTTCCGAGGAAGCTACTATTATAACACCCTCGCAGGCTGTAGCATGCACCACGGACACACACACCGCGCTCGCCGATACCAAATGTCCGACCGTACCTGATGCTCGTATCGCTTCATTTGCGAAGTACAATATGAAGCGAAGGGATTGATATGAAGCGGCTGCGGTGCTGCATGGATATATGAGTACATACGTGCAGCCGTATCTACCGTAGCGGTTATTGGCACGATGCCAACGGGAAACTCGTCCGAAATCGCTCTCTGAGTCACGTAGAACAAAGTCTTTTTCTGCGGGTTTTGACAAACCCACTTCGCTTTTTCGCCATTTTGCCACTATAGAGCGCCCCTGCTACCGTTTTAGACCGTTACCAAATTATCGTGCCTCATGCCTTCGATGCAATGCCTTCTTTAACGGGTATCGCAGATTCCATTGAAGGATGGCATTTGCAATTGTTATAGCTCGGGAAGGTGAATATTGTTCTATATACCTAGGCTCGGCTGTCGAACTGCTTCGGCGCGGATCCACAGACAGCAGGTTTGCTGACGCAGAACTACTCCTGACAATGTCCACACAAGTATGATGCTATCCTTCAGCTTATTTGCCCATTAATGTTTCCTTTCTCGTTTTCCCTTTTTCTTCTACAAGCCCAGTTGTTCAGAATTGTTTGGAAAAGCTCGCCGAAGTGAAGCGATCGCCAGTGCGAAGTGACGCTAAGAGGTAGCCTAGCCGTTGCTCGTGTCTCTTAAGAATGCATATCTTAGTTCGTTTTGATGTTTTCAGCTATGTGATCTCCTCCCAACAGTTACGGCCTCTGTGCCCGATCACCCAAACCGATGCATCTGCGACGTCTTTACAGCGTCTCAGTGGTATTGTACCGAGCGATTTTAAACTCGAGGGATCAGCTCTTCAACGGTACTGCCTGCAAACGAAGGACAATCCGTTATCAGTGATCGAACTCAGTGCATATATGATTGGTGAGAGGTAAGGTTCTCGATATTCCTATCTATTTGGTAGTTACCATAGTTATTCGGCGCTGTTCGGCTTGGGAGAGGCATTTTGCACTTTCCCTAGTTTCTTTAGTGAGTTATCACAAGAGTGCTGAGTTGTGGGCAAAAGTCGGACCACGGGCGGGATTCGAACCCGCATCTTCCGCTTACCGGGCGACTGCGTTCCCTATACGCTACCGGGCCACTCTTGCCCTCTCAGCTCAATGGCTGTTTGTGCCAAGGTAAGTGAAAGGTGCGGGTTCGAATCCCGTCCGTGGTCCGACTTTTGCCCACAACTCAGCATTCTTGTGATAACTTTCGGATCGCGCACTGCGGCGTTAAACAGCAGTTATCAAACAAGAGCAGCTTAAATCTCTAGTGAGTTTCTGTTAAAGTACACGTTTTTTCGCAT